TGTCTTACTGACTGTTTCCTTTGCTTTGCAGAAGCTTCTCAGTTTCAGGAGGTCCCATTTATTAATTGCAGACCTCAGTGTCTATGCTACTGGCGTAATGTTCAGGAAGCAGTCTCCTGTCCCATTTTGTTCAAGGGTAACTCCCACTTTCTCTTCTAGAAGATTTAGTGTGGCTGGATTTATGGTGAGATCTTTAATCCATTTGCACTTAAGTTTTGTGCATGGTGACAGGTATGGATCTATCTGCAATCTTCTGCATGTCCGAATCCAGCTGTGCCAGCACCATTTGTTGAAGATGCTATCTTTCTTCCATTGTATAGATTCAGCATCTTTGTCAAAAATAAGGTGTTCATAGGTGTGTGGGTTAGTATCAGGGTTTACACACACACACACACACACACACACACACACGTGTGTATCAATAACTATTCAATGATGTTTTCTTTACATGGGATTTCCAAAGGTAATAAAAATAACCTGTACACTAAACAGTAAAAAAGACCCAATTTGGGGTGGAGGAAATGTTTGTGCTTTCTTACAGGAAAACAATAAAACAAGATGGCTGCTGGACCATTTGGAGAGATTCATGGAGAAGAGGAAAACAGGCATGCTGAGATAAAATAGCCACCCCTCTCCTCCTCCTAAAAACCCCATCTCCAAGATCACCCTTAGCTAGCTCATGGGTTGGGTTCCGAACTCTGTGTGGCACAACCCACTTTCAATTCCCTTAACCCAGTCTCACCTCTGCAACCTTACCCTGTCCCTAACTGATTCCTCCTAGCAATGCCTGGTGGGTCTGTTCCGATGCCCTCACCCTCTGCATTTATAACCCTTTGTTCCAACAAGATGAGATGTGTACTCTTATCCAGGTGGTGCCATGACTCTCCTACCACCCCTCAGAGGAGTTTTTCCCTTGCCTAACTCCCACCTCTGCCCCCCTCTGCACTCGCAGGGAACCCATCTCTGCACTAACCGTGGCTGTTTTGCTCAGGCTAGGAGCTGCTGGAGCGGGAACAGGCATATCTTCCCTCACTCTACCCTCCAAACCCCATGATAAACTCAGTACCACTATTGACCGGGATGTTCAGAAGCTACAGGCAGGAATAACTGACCTTGCAGACTCCCTATGGTCCCTAAGTAAAGTAGTCCTTCATAACCGGGGGGATTAGATCTATGTCTCCTTCAACAAAGGAAGAATGTTGCTTCTATGTAGATAAGACAGGATTAGTAAAGGATGCAATGAAAGAGGTTAGAGAAGGATTGGAAAGAAGAAAACTAGAGAGAGCCAAAAACAAAAGCTGGTGCCAAGACTGGCTCTCTACTTCCCCCTGGGTGACAACTCTCCTGCCCTCAATTTTAGGCCCTCTTATAGGACTTTTGTTGTTAATTTCTTTTGGCCCCTGGGCGTTTAATCGCTTAACTGGCTTCATTAAACAACAGATAGATTCTCTCATTGCTAAGCCCATTCAGGTCCATTATCAT